TGCACAGACACAGCAGTCCCCTCCGCCCCCGCCCATCCCCGACCCCTGCCCACACGGGCTGGGGAGCCAAACTGGTTGGGGTCCCATCTCTGTCTCTGTCAGACACGTAACTTCCCTGGGCCTCTAGTTTCTCCTTATCCGTAAAAGGAGAATAATAGCCAAGGCTGCCTCATGGGGCTGTTTGAGGTTAAAGTGCTTGGAACGGCGCCCAGCGCCCAGGAAATGCTCAAATAGATGCAAATTATTATCATGTCCATGATCCAGTGATTTTTGCTGAATATTTGCCAGTACCTTCCACTAATGCCGACTGAGTTCATGTCTGGCATTAGGCTATGCTGCTTTCTTTTGCTACCCTCCCCTCTCAGAGCTCTGGGTCTCATTCTCAGGATCCTGGGGTGCCGCTCTGGCCTCTGGTCTACACTACAGCTGACCCTGCCAGCCTCGTGTGATTATTCTTCACTCACCCACTCCGCCTACCAAGTGCCACGCACTGTGCAAGACACATTATCTTCATTTAACATGCCCCTCAATCTTCTGAAGTAGAAACTGTTTACAGATGAGGACGCGGAAGCTCAGAGAGGTTAAGTGACTTGCCTAAGGTCACACAGCGAAGCGGCAAAGCTGGGATTTAAGCTCGCGTCTGCCCTGTTTGCTCATGCTCGCTCAACCACGACGTCATACTGCCTCTTGCAAAGACCCCGGAGATGGGACCCTCCGCCAGAACCTTTATGGAGTTGGGGATCCCTGGGGGCTTTGCACCTTTCAGGGAGTGTTTTAGCGGGGCGGTGGGGCTTAGAAATCATTTGGTCCAACCTTTTCATTTTGTGCACAGGGAGACAGAGGCTGAGAGGAGAAGGGAGGTGCCAGGGTCCCTCGGTGAGCTAGGGACAGAATGGGCCCGGCTGCAGGACTCACTCTGTCTTTTCCTCCCTGCTTCCTCACCAGGCCTGGGGGCCTTAGCCCCCCATCCTACCGTGACCCGTCAACGATCAGGGCCGACATGCTAGGTGGAGGAAGCCCTCCCTGGACTCTTGCAGGCCCCGGGTTATAACATTCACTGGACCGTAGACTCCATGAGCTCAGGGACTACAGCTAGCTTGTCGCCGCACTGCCAGTGCCTGCTTCATAAATAGTAATCATTCCCTGTGCGCGTTGGTGGAACAACTACGTGTTCCAGGCCCTGGGCTAAAGGCTGAAGGCAGAGCAGTGAACAAGACAGAAAAAATGCCTGCCCTCAGGGGAGTTTGCATTCCTAGTGAGAGATAGACACTGAATGAAAGAACCAAGCAAAAACGCATAATATTTAAGATGATGATAAGTGTTATGGAGTAACACAAATAAGGAAGGGGCATAGGGAATGGAGGGGGGAGGGAGGGAGGAATTTGGCAGTTTCAAACAGGTTAGTCACGGAAGGTCTCTGCAAGGTCACCTTCGAGCCTTGGAGGAGGTGAAGGAATGAGTGGTGTGTGGGGGAGGGGCATCCCAGACCGAGGGGCATCCCAGTGCAAAGGCCCAGGGGTGGGAGCGTGAGGTGTTTGAGGCTGGCGGGTGTGGCTGGATCAGGCCGAACAAGTGAGAAAGTAGGGGAAGATGGGGTCAGAGGGGCCCATGATGTGCAGACAGATCACAGAGAGCCTTTTAGGGTGGAACTTCAGGTTTTACTCCGAGTGAAGTGGGAGCCATGGACAGTTCTGAGCAGACAGAGGGACAAGATCTGACTTAGGTTGGACAGGATCCCCCTGATTCCTGAGTTGCAAGTAGAATGTTGTGGGGCCAGAAAGGAGGGTGTCTGAACATTGGGAGGCTCTTTGGAGGAAGCCAGATAAGGCAAGGTCCAGGCTGGGCCCACATGGGGCAGGCAGGTGGAGGTCAGATCTGCCAGGATGCAGTGTGATAGAAAAGAGAGGAGTCAAGGTCGGCTCCAACCTTTTGGGGTCGACCAGCTGCAATGAACAAAGAAAAGAGGGTCTCCATTTCTGGCCCAGGAACCAGGACACTTGGGTTCAAGTCTCGGCTCCATCACTCTCCTGCTTGGTGGCCTTCGGCAAATCCTTTCTCCTTTCTGGGCCTCAGTGTCTGCTCCTGTACAACGGGTGCGACCCCCTCCACCTGGCCTCCCCAGTTCCCCAAGACCCGGGGCTCCGAAGAGGACGCGTGCCTCACAGATTTGCCCCCCTCCCCCTGCCCACAGGGAGCCAGTGCCAGTGGCCGCCATGGCGTCGCGCATCGGGCTGCGGATGCAGCTCATGCGGGAGCAGGTACAGCAGGAGGAACAGCGGGAGCGCATGCAGCAGCAGGCCGTCATGCATTACATGCAGCAGCAGCAGCAGCAGCAGCAGCAGCAGCAGCAGCAGCTGGGTGGGCCGCCCACCCCGGCCATCAACACCCCCGTCCACTTCCAGTCTCCGCCACCTGTGCCTGGGGAGGTCCTGAAGGTAGGGCGTGTCCCGAGGTGGGGCCTGTCCCCTCCCACCCTGCTTCTAGGAGCCCTAGAACCCTTGCCTTCTCCCCCCCTCCCAGGTGCAGTCCTACCTGGAGAACCCTACCTCCTACCACCTGCAGCAGTCCCGGGACCAGAAGGTGCGGGAGTACCTGTCCGAGACCTACGGGAACAAGTTCGCCGCCCACATCAGCCCCGCCCAGGGCTCCCCGAAGCCCCTGCCGGCTGCCTCCCCGGGGGTGCGGGCCGGACACGTGATGTCCTCCTCAGCCGGCAACAGTGCTCCCAACAGCCCCATGGCCATGTTGCACATTGGCTCCAACCCCGAGAGGGAGGTGAGTGAGAAGCTGGCCAGGGGCTGCCATGAGCAGAGCTGGTGCCAGGTGCTGTGCTCCTGGGACTCCTGGTCTAATGGCAAGGGCAAGGTGCTGCTGTCAGGGTCCCTCCCAGTCCGAGGGGGAGGTCCTGCTCTCTCAGGGACCCCAGTCTGAGCGGGGGAGACACAGCCCTGCCTCAGGGACCCGAGTGTGAGCGGGGGAGACACGGTTCTGGCCTCAGGGAGCCCCAATCTGAGGGGGGAGACACAGCCCTGTCCTGAGGGAGCCTCAGTCTGAGGGGGAGACATAGTCCTGACCTCAGGGAGCCCTAGTCTCATAGGAAAAGCCTCGCCCCTACTTTTGAAAGCTCGACTAGGGAGAAACAGGACCCTCCTACTGGAAAGCCCAGCACACCTGCAAAGCCATGTCCAGACAGAGGGTATATAAAGCAATCTCCCTGGGGCAACTTGGCTCTTTGGGAAGAGCCCTGGCCTTGGCCTTGAGGCCTGTGGGACTTGGACAACTCATCCTCTCTCTGAACCTTTTTCCTTCACTCCACCCAAGATGAGCCAGTTGAGTGAGGTGGGCTCCAAGGTCCCTTCAG